GAGAGAGAGAGAGAGAGAGAGAGAGAGAGAGAGAGAGAGAGAAAGCCTTTGCAATATAGCAAGTGTACTAGTGTTGACCTGGTGTATGTTACACGAACCTTTGTAATACAGCAAGTGTACCAGCATTGACTCGGTGGATGCCATCCAACAGGACGAGTTTGCCTTCCAGAGCAGCATTCACAAGGGGTGAGGCACGCCAAGCAGTGTCTCCACTGGGAAGAGTGTACCTCTGCTGTAGCAGGTCACGTGCTGTCATATCCTAGAGCCAATTACCACCATCCCGAGAAGAATTAATTCTAAGAAATATTTAATGCTTATTTAGATTTATAGTCATTTTCTCTGCACATAACGTTTCCCTTTGCATATATTATTTTTATATATCAATTGGGAAATTATCTCAAATTCACCAAAGAGAAGTATCTTGAGAAAGCTGTAGCGTTTTTCCCCCCTATTATATATTTACATAACACAGTATGAATGAGGGATTTCCTCTCTCTGTCTTTCTCCTTTTATTTAGTACTTTCCTCCAGTTTAAAAATGTTTGTTTAGCCAGGTGCAGTGGCACCTGCCTTTAATCCCAGCACTTGGGAGGCAGAGGCAGGAGGATTTCTGTGAGTTCAAGGTCAGCCTGGTCTACATAGAAAGTTCTAGGCCAGCTGGGGCTCCAGGGAGATCCTTAAAAAAAAAAAAAAAAAAAAAAAAAAAAAAAAAGTTTGTTTAGATAATAGCAGTAATTACCACCTTACTTTAATGGAATCAAACTCGATCAACTCTACTCCAGGAAGGTGCACTATGTATTAGTTCTCTTTTAAAATGAGAAGCTGCAAGCCGGGCGTGGTGGCACACGCCTTTAATCCCAGCACCCGGGAGGCAGAGGCAGGCGGATCTTTGTGATTTCGAGGCCAGCCTGGTCTACATAGTGAGTTGCAGGACAGCTGGGGCTACAGGGAGATCATGTCAAAAAAATTTTTAAAAAAAAAAAAAAAAAGAAGAGAAGCTGCACAAACTCAACATTGAGGGATGCTTATCAGGAATGTGCATTTTCTTTTGAAAAGCCTTCAGAGGCCCATATGCTGCCTGATTCTGTAGGTTCACAGAGGCTCAGCAACGGAGGAAATAGGATGAGGTACAGGAATCAAAAAACAATAGCATGGTAGCATGGCACTCACCAAGCAGTTTTGAAGGGCACACATACAACGTGCTAGCACTAAAATAGTGTCTAACAGATCTAAGGGAACTATTAATAGTTGTGATATATAAAACTACTATGAAAAATGTGGCACACTAATGAGTTCATATACAGAATATACTTCATGCAAATCTTCTGAATACTCTCTTAAGATACATATTTAACACAAAGTAAGTACTTTAATGTGCAGTGTCCACATGTGACTCTAAGAGGGGCTGTTACCTTACTAGGAAATTTGAATTTTAAATTGCGTTTTTCATCATTTGAGTATTTCTGTACATTACTGTTTCTTTAAATACTAATAGTGTGTTTTATCTTTTAAAAAATAATACAAGCAGTATTTTCTTACATGTGTTGTTGAAGATGATGTCTTTTCTTTTATCAGGTTCATCTATATTATGGGCCACTTGTATCAAACAAAAAATTAAACTTTTGAATTACTTATCCAAAACTTTAAAACTCTTTTAAAGCAAAAAACTAATGGATTCACTTATATTTACAAAAACAACAAATCTGCACTGAAATTAAGATTTTTTTATTTGTTTTGAGACAGGTTCTCCCTGTAGCCCAAGCTGGCCTGGAACTCGCTATGTAGACCAGGCTGCCCTTGATCTCATAGAGATCTGCCTGCCTCTGCCTCCTACAGGCTAGGATTAAAAGCTTGCACCCCCACACCTGGCTAAATTTAAATTTTTATATAAGCTGTATGAGCAGTATCACTCAATACTGCCAATGACAGTTAACAACAGCCAAGATTAAACTCATTCCCATCAACAGTAATCTGGGGCCGAGTGGGATAGATACTCTCCACACTAGCTCATGCTATAGAAAGGTAAATGGATTGCTCTGTAGCAAAGTTATAAGTAAATCAAATATGTGTTAGTAGGTCACTTACATAATCAAATTATTTAAAAAATCAAATATATATATTTGCATAATGTATACATGCATATATGTACACATAGATAAAAATCTTTTTAAATTTAGAATTAAAGTAAATTAACTTAAAACTCTCAACATTAATTATTCCAGAAAAATATTTACTACAGTCACATCACATATTGTCCTAGAAAAGTAAAACAAAATCATGCTTTAACATAGTGACTCAAAATCAAGGATATATATTTTAGAAACAGCTGGGGAACTTTTGAAAAACACATAAGCTTAATCTCCCTGAAGATTCTGATTGAATAAGTCTAAGCTACCTGTTTATATTAACATGCTGCTGTCTCCTAAGCAAGATACTGTTTTTGTAAGACATGCAGTTAATGTGAACCTGTTTCATTTATTTATACCCCTGCTTTATTCTAATAGGACTAAAGAGATTGTACAAGGACATACAAAACACTCAACAAAATAGCATAACTTAAAAGGTGCAAAAATAGAGCTGGAGAGATGGCTCAGTGGTCAAGAACACTGACTGTTCTTGCAGAAGACCTGGGTTCAAATTCCAGCACCCACATGGCAGCTAACAACTGTCCATAACTCCAGTCCCAGGGGATCCAACAGCCTCTTCTGACCTCCGTGGGCAATGCACGACATGGGTGCACTTACCTACATGCAGGCAATACACACATACACATAAATTTTTTTTTTTAAAGGTACAAAAATAAAGAGCAGACTTTGCTTCCTTTAAAAACCTGATCCTTAGGCAGAGTACTTGCCTAGCACACAAGAAGCCTACAGGTTTGATCCCAGAGGCCAACAGCCCTGTATATGTGAGATGCTGTCTCAAATAAATAAACAAACACGAAAACAAAATACAACACAACACCAATAAAAAAGAAAGAAAAGTCCTACTAGAATTCAGAGAGGACGCAGATTGATAAAGGCAGTCCACTCATGTCACACTGCAAAGAAAAGAATGAATGCTAACTTTGAAAGTGCCTGGTCCACACTGAAAACAGATACTATTGGCCCAGTTCAGCTTCAGTCTTTTGTATGGGTTCAGAAAAAGTGAGATGAGGAATGTCGTGAGTCTGGTATAAGAAGTTCAGAGAAAAGAGCTGAAGCTACCTAGTAACTGGTACATTATTCTTGTTAGGGTTGTTGTTTTCAGTAGAGAGAATTCTTCATTCTTAAATGAACATATCCTAAATCACAATTCTGTGCCAGACATGAAAAAGCACAGTTTCATATGGTCATGATGGCAAAGGACTTTACTATTAAGTTAATTCACACAGTGTTTATACTGTTTACCTCATTGACCTGAGTAAATATTTCCTAGTAGAGATGACAAAGACAAACACCACAATGGGCTCTCCATTTCCAACCCAGCAGTTGGTGACTCCCTTATATTTACTGAAGTAAAATGAAGTAATTATTTGTTGTTACACAACAAAATGAGTTTTAACAGCTCAATACAGGCCAATGCTATTAAAACTAACTCTACTGCTGGCGTTGTGCCACACACCTTTAATCCCAGCACTTGGGAGGCAGAGGCTGGTGGATCTCTGTGAGTTTAAGGCCACCTTAATCTACCTGGTGAGTTCCAGGCAAGTTGGGGCTACAGGGAGACCCTGTATCAAAAAGACAAAATAAAAATAAATAAAAAATAAATAAAAATAGAAAATTAACTCTAGACCAGAAATAATTCATTTATTCAGTCTTCAAAGTGGTAAAAAAAAAAAAGAAAATGGTTTGCATTTTGTAGACTAGCTCAGTTCAGTTTTATCACCTCAACTTTCTACATACCTTCATGAAAACCACTCATTTCTAGTATCCTTTGCATTAAGTTCCTTAAAAAACAAATCCTTAACCAGGCATGGCAATGCATGCCTTTAATACCAGCACTCAGGGGGCAGAGGCAGACAGATCTCTTGTGAGTTCAAGACCATCCTGGTCTACACAGTGAGTTTCAGGCCAGCTGGGACTACATAGTGAGACCTTGTCTCAAAAAACAAAACAAAAAATCCTTAGACAAAAAGTATTTCCTTTACTATAAACTGTTGGTTTTCATAAATAAGTTCCTTTATCAAAATTCCAGCTTTTCCTTAAGGAGATAGTTGGAACCATTTTCCTAAATATTAGTAATATCAGAAGTTACTTTCAATTGTTACTTTCAATTGTCTAGATGCATAAAAATTTGCTCCATGTTAATTAGTAGAGGTGAAACACATTACCATTGAAATCTACCTGGTGATTTTATATCCATGCTCAGGTGGATCTCAGAAAGTAACCAACTGTGACTAGTAATAATCAGATATATAGAGATTAGAGACGCATGTGCAAACATCTAAGTGTTAGTAGCATTAAAAATGAGTTTTTCTGTATGAAAGAGTATATTTTTAAATGAAATGGAGATCTTTTTTTTAAAGGTTAAAACCTCATTCAATTTTATATCTTATAGGGTTTATACTGAGTTCAATATTGTATAACCATATTAATTCAACTGTGAACCCAAAAATTTATATCTTAAAATGAAATTGAGATCTTCTTTAAAGGGTAAAAACTCATTCAATTTTATGTCTTACAGGGTTTATATTGAATTCAATATTGTATAACTGTATTAATTCAACTGTGAACCTAAAAACTTACAGCCACTTTTGAAAGAGATGAATCTTTGCTCTGGAAATTGTTATTGAATATGTTAATGCTATAATGAAATGCTTCTACTAATCAAGTGGTTATCAGGTAAATAATTTTAAAAAATAAAAATAAAAATCCATTGGAATCTATTTTAAAAAAAAAGAATTCAGACAGACCAAACTAAATGCTCATAGAACTAGATCCTATTAAATCTAATTAACAGAAAATTTCAGCATAATCTAAGTAGCAATATAAATTAATTTCAGTTAATATGCTCATTTTAAAAACAAAGTAGCTCCATTTTCAAACATTTCTTTGTATGAGCTATTTAGTTTTCAATTCCCTGAATTTGTTTTAATATTTTTATTTAACAAATACATATGCAGTATCATGGGTGCATGTGTATATGTATATGCATGCATGTATGTGTGTATGTATCTGTGTGTATGTGTGTATGTGTGTATGTGTATGTGTGTGTGTAGTGTGTGTGTGTGTGTACATGTCTTATTCTTCCTACCTAGAGGCACATCCGTATTAAACTG